GGCTGGGGGGGGGGGGGGTGTAAAAGAAGCGAAATATCGTTTCGATATTTTTCTTCTTTTCTCTATCGAACGTTTATTTAGAAAATACTGCTATCTTCTTTACATTAAAAAAATTATTATTAAAAGATTGGAACAAGTATGAAAAATAGTTAAAAATTATGAGATATTTCTCGATATCGAACAAATGTTTACGAATACCGTGAATGCAGTGCAATCATTTGCAAGAATTATACTGTGAATGTTCGTTACTAGAATATGAAATATACACTCCACTAATACACTATAATCGCGTGTTATAAATATTTCAAAATATTTGCAAGAATCCAAAAATTCACAACTAAATATACTTAAAGAATACTACAGAAACGCGCGCGAAACCTTGCTTTGAAGCATTTGAGCCTACTAGCGCGCCACCTCTATTAAAAAGATATAAGCTACGAATTTGCAAGTATATGACGTTAACTGTAGCAAATTCACATAATATAGCAAAATAATTTGAATTCGATATGTGAATGTTACCATGCCTATCGAAATAAGTTAAAACTATTTTTATTAAGATTTCTATGTTTCAAAAGCGTCTATACGAAGCTATCGTTAAATTATCAAGAATTCTATATCTCAAATCACATTGAAAAAGTAAAATAATTTGTTAGAAATTCGTTTGAAACGAGAATGATTTGGTATATTCGATCAAGAACAATGATTTATTTAATCTTATTTACTTTCGTCTTAGTAATTATTAATTACGAAATTTATATTATTATATTAATATTAATTAATATTAATTAATATTAATATTATATATTAATATTAATTATTAAATAATTACGAAATTATCTATTATGAAATATGTATCAAATATATTTTAAAGTAAATATAAATTGTATATCAAATGTTACCCATGCTCGAATAACAAGAATAGAATTGTTCATACACAACTATCTTATGTAGTCAAAATAAATTAAATATTACCAAATTTCCATGAAAATTCATCGGATTGATCATTAATCGTCGTTGCGTCCATATATTAATATTCCAGTTACTTCTATATTATCCCTGCCATCGATCAGTAACCTGCACAAAAAAATAACTACAAGTTAAAACAAATGTATAAAATAATTAAATGAAAACACAATCAAACTCAAATTTTATTACGAAAGCTTACGATAAAAGCTACGGTAACAGTAACATTTAATAAATAGACGACCGAAGAAAAATTAAAACAAAAGATTTCAGAAAATCACTTAATTTCATTATCTTAATGTTCAATGAATTGTTAAATAAATGTGTATTAATTAAACGATAATAATAACGAGATTTATACGATAGTAAAAGGTATAATAATGAATAGTAATGAGGAAGCGACCCCACCAATAGGTTAAAATGCGTTGCAAACCTGACGCAATACGATCCACGTTATCGATGATATCGAAGAGACGACTAAATGACGCCTTAGTTTCGCAGAGCAACTACCAAAGTGGTGGGGGAAGGGGGGGACCCACGAATCGGTGGCAGGTACGCAGTTGAACGATTGTAAACAAAATAAATGTATACATCTACAAAAACATTCATCTTCTACGTAGCGCTACACAAACCTTTCCAAATTTCAAACGAAGCACACATTACGCAATATTTACATATATCTACACAATGATTACATCGATCTTTACAAACATCGTACAATAATTCGTATACTTACTGGCAGCGTTCAGTATCAAAGACACATCTGTCTAACTCGGACCGCAAGAAAGAAAATGAAGCTGCTGACGCTGTATATACAATTTCGTGTCTTGCAAAAGGGACATATGAGTGGCTGTACTAAACTGTTTAGCATTCTATTTTCGCGACACTAAACTTTTGAAGATATCGGAAAGTTATAAACCCTAACGTGACCGCAAGAAGCTTCATGTGCAAGCTTAATGGGAAAGCAAGAAACCCGAACAATCAGACAATGAAAGAAAAATCGGGGCACGCCGGGAACGAACGAGATCGCGATCTCTCGAAAGAACTAACAAACCTACGCGACGTATCTCCATGCACGAAATAACCGTAAGGTTCAGTGGAAAGCCCAAGAATTGACCGTCACTCGATTCCTGTTTCGCCATTCGAAATTTACACAAATCACGGTCGATGGCACCACCGATGATGCATCTCAGTGATCCACTGGTAATCCAGCCGTGAATCTAGCACATTGGCCTGCAACGACACAGGCTGTCTTTACAAGAAAACCGATTTTTGTGGACATTCGCGGCAGAGACAATCGCAGTGCGTGTGTGATTTTGCTGTGGACACCTACGGTCGGGACAATCACGATGCCTGTGTAAGTCTTTTATGAATATTAACAACATGCTTTTTTATTTATGAATTATAGAGGTAAAGGTTAGAGGAAACATTAATCCTCTCTACTCGGAAATTTCATAAGGTGGTTTCCGATATGCTCTTATGGATTTCCATGAGTAAGCAGGTTTAATGTTCAATCTACCATTTCTTTTGCAAAACATAAAGCGGGGTGGTTTACGTCTCCGAATATCATCTTCTTCTTTACGACTTGTACGAAGTAAGCTGCCACCTGTGTCGTTCGATTTGAGGATTACTGTGTGCTCCATTAATTAGGCTGACTTCTTTTCGTTCATGTAAAGAGATTTACTCGCATGCAGGAATAATGTGGCCGATTTTTAATTGCCAATATCTAAAAAACAAAACCGCAAATGCAATTTTTTTATTTTTGATTCTCGTCTTATTTTGGCTTCAAGAATCACTCCTTAAATTTTCTGACATCTGTAGCCGAACACTCTATAATATTCGTTACATTAATAATAGAAACTTGTTATATTTTTCATTATTTTAATTGTAAGAATACTAAATTTAATAATTTACCTCTTTTAAGTTTCTTTTAATTTAATTTAATTTTTTAATAATCTTTAATTCAATAATTTTCCTTCTCCGGTGTCACGTGCAGCTCCAAATCAAACTTCTTTGTGCAACAGCATGATCTCATGTAACGAATAATACCCGAACTGTGATCGATAAACGAAGGAACACATATTTTACAGTTTCTCCAAATTTGACAAAGTTATTTTCTGATGGTAGCCGGTGATTTTTCGTGGAATATTAGAGAACTGTCATGGCTCTAAATTCTAGGGATTTTCAAAAGTACAAGCGTACAAACAATAACGTAAAACCACTAGATTCAAGATTCTGCAAGGCGTACTCTCGTTTCCTGTTGCAATACCAAGCTTACGAGTTATGGCCTCGTTAATTCTGGAACGATCACAGGACGAAAATTATTCCACCAGTGTCCTTCACGCTCACAATGGCGCTATAGTTACGCATTTAGTTCCATGCGCGGGAAAAAGTGACGACACCAATTGTCGTACGATTATTTCATAGTGAATCAAATTAATGGATATCGTAATGCAGATAAATTGATTATAAGCGTATAATTATAATAATTTGATCATTCTTATATTTTTAGTATTATGTTCGTGTTCTTGGTAGCGATTCATTTGTTATGCATACGGTAACGAAATAATTGCACACACGCACATTTGCTCCGGGAAAACTGTTTCCATATCATCAACGGAAGAATTTCTAATTACCGCGTAATCAAAAGTCAAGGAATCGGTATCCTTGTAGCAGATGGCTTGAATAATCCACATTCAGAAACACGCTATTCTATTGTGATTTGTACGTCAGAAGTTGTACAACCTACATCGAAAACAATCTCGAATGAAGAAAGAAAGATATATGGACAGGAAGAAGTTCTATAGAATGTATTATAAATAGATTGCCTGATGTAAACCTACATTGAATTGAATTGAAAAAACACAGCTGTTCCAGTCTTCGGCGACAATGATTTTTTTAAGCAATGTGCAAACAATGGCACGATAAGAAAAGGGGGCAGTAGTTGATTCAAGAGTTTTCAATGAAATTTCAGCGACTTCTTGCGTCCTCCGCTTTTTTATTTTTTATTAAAATCGCTTTGTGAGTCAGTTTCTTATGCAATGTTTCACATTCACGATTTCGCACAGAAATCGTAAATGACGCTGCTTCCTCTCTTGTCGATTCTATCGACGATAAATAATTACTCTAATTGCATGTACTATCTTCGTATCATCGGCCTTAGATCAACGATAACAATAATTATGGTGCTATTCATGACTTACATTGTAATTTCATTTTTCTAAATGTGTGTTAAAATTCATTGAAACCTGTTAATGTGATTGAAAAATTTGTTCAGGGAAGAGGATGCATAAAACAAAATGGTGAATTGAGTAAATTGCGCCGAAAGATTCAGTTTTAATTTTTTGATACTAGTTAAATTTGAACTGGTAACTGTAATAGCTCTTAATGAACATTATATCTTTTATATTTACACAAGAAATAAAAATTTCTCTTATTTGGGTCATTTAGGCTTTTTCAATCGTATATTTATAACATTTGACGTTGCCTAATCGTCATAGGTCGGGCGGGAATTTCCAGTACATGTCTATGTGTGAACGACAATACGCAATCACGTTAATGACTGCGTAATACAGAATTGCGAAGATGTGTCGCGTGCCCTCCATTTCCGGTTCACGCTGTTGATGCTCTTCGTAACGAAGTTGACACAAAAAAAGTCGACGTCGTGTAACGATCTTCTTTATTTATAAAATTCATTCTACGATTCCAAAGGTGGAATAAGGTAAAATAAAAGAACAGAGATATCTTTCGATATTTTTCATTAACGAGACATCAACGAGAATTGAGTCGTTAAATTTTACGTCAATCTCGTATTACGATTCAATGAATTTTTATACATACACTTTCTTTTATAGGGTACTTATAAAAAGCGAGACTAACTTCATAAATTATTATTTATCGTTTGAAAATATATTTCAATAATATATTCACTTACTATAATATATAGATCTCAATCGTCTTGTTTGAAACCAGGACATATTCTAATACTTATGAACGGGACTTTATGTAACAAGATTGATGAATCGATGAAATAACTTCTTTTTTAGGATTAGCTTCTCACCTATGAAAATAGTCCAATTTGTCTCCAATGCAACAAGCGTATCGATGTCACGTTTTAGATTCTTTGCAACGATTTTTACACCTGATTTGCTATTTTTCGCTTGTCTTTTCTCGCGAAACGCGTCGTTAACCTTCACCCAGGAGTCTGACGGACCGATCGATGAAAAGAGTTCAATCATTTAGCCGATTGACCTTGCCATCGTCGTAGCGTTGCATTTTGAATAATTCTTGAGCGTGCTCGCGTAATACCGGTAACACGTATCACTGTTTTCCCACGTTTCATCGGTTACCTTGTAATAACGCTGACAATCGCCGTTTTGTGTTATATAGCTACAATGGAATTGTCAGTTTGCGCGGAAGATGGACAAAGTTTTGCATCCCTGCGTATGTTAGAAAATGTGAACATGATGAATTAAGTTTAGATATAGATTTAGTGAAAGTGTACCGAAACGTAACGTGGATGTGAGGAAATATCTTACAGATTTACTTTCTTCGCCAAATTGCTTATGCAATTCCACTCTAGAGGAGTTTCTCTTACTTAATCGCTCGTATGTTTCCTTGACGTATCAAATCACACTTATTGCATTACTCGAGAAGCGTAGATAGCATTATATATTATTCAATTCGACAATTATTTCAATCTTTCTTCTCGGCGTCAAATCACATGCTTACTTTGTTATTGTATTTAAATTAGGAACCTTAAGATGTCAATTAATCTCAGGATCTCCTCTTGTTGCATTAAATTACCCTCTATTTGCTTTGCAAATAAACGTGTTTTATCATCTTATGCCATACAACTTCCACGATTAACAAATGAAGAAGTAAACATGCAGTAGTAAAAAAGTGATGAAATAAAAGAAGTTTCATTACATCAGAAATAATTGAAGATCTTTTTCTATATCACGCATAATATACAAGATCCGGCTGAATAACACGTAAAAGCGATCATTTAGATGTGCCAGTCCGGAATTAGCCATGTTCGGGATATTTCTTGATACATTTTCAAACTCGATTTTCTCGAAGACTAAGCCGAAAATGAAAAAATGTTATTCCGCTTTTACATATTACCTGGCCTGACTCTGTATATTATATTTATAAAAGGTTCTTACGAGCATTCGAATATTTTCGCGTGTCACTGTAAGCATTCGTAAAACATACAGTATCTTCTTTGACTTGGGATAGAGATAATGAGCGTAAAGACCCATCAGCTACCAACAAAAAGGCTGAAGAAACGCACGGCTGCGCTTCGTAAATGTTTGCGTACTTGAACCTAGAATTGCGGTCAGTACGTGGGATTGGTGCACCCATTATCTCTCGACAGGATTAGCATTGTCAAAGTTGCTCGCTGGAAGAACACGAGGCGCGCTTTTAAAGTAAAAACCACCTGCGCGCTATGCTACACGTTATTGCCTGTGACGTGAGCTAGCTCATGGCATTGAAACCTGAATTCGCGTTCCGTGCGTGCCCTTCTGCGCGTTAATTCAATTTCGACCGTGAAGACCCCGGTAATTAACTACGTGCGCGTAATACGTAATCTTGAATTCTAAGAGAGGTAATAGCAGTTTTCGAAGTATAGTCTTTCTCCTAAAACAAAGGGTTAATGTACTCATTTAGAGTCATAGAATCTATTTCTAAAAAATTTGTTTAAATATTACGTGTCATGATATCGATATAAAATGATCCAGCAGCGCATTTACACACGACTTCAATTTATTTCAATTTATTTTTCTATTTAATATTACATCCTTGTTGATTGTAACACGATGACTGAAATACCGTATATACAGTTCCAGCATCATCGTGAGACTATCCTCGTGATCCGCGGCAGGGTGCGGCTGTTCGACGTTTTCTTGTCGATCGATGAGTTTAGTCGCCGTCAGGTCGATGCGTCACGCAGGTGGACGCTTTTTCCTTGATCAATGAAAACAAATGCATAACGATCGCCTTGAACAGTGTACGTAATGAATACTAATCACCCATTTTCTCCTCATTCTTTCCCACGGTTCACAATCTTATCACTCTGCTTGCAAAATTGCAAATCGCAATTGGAATTGGAAGACAGTTAACTGGAGTGAGATAGAGAGTGGTTGTTAGTTACTAGACTGTGGATCTTTATCCATTCTTACGCAAATAAAAATATCGATTAAAACGAAATTGAGTTATCATATTTTGCTCATGTGTTTCATTGGTTTGTCCATATACATGTATAGCGTATCCAGGAAAGAACTCTTTTTATGATATATAGCAAATTTGGATAAATCTTCGCAAGTTACTAATGTATAATGCTAACTCAATTCTTAATGATGTCTGTTACAAGACTGAGGTAGCAATTATACAATTGTGTACTGGATTATTGTTAAACATATAAGGAACTACAATCTTTAGTGTTAATTTTAATTCATAGCTGCGTTTCGACGCTTCGATGAAAAGGCAGAAATGATGGAAAATCGCGATTAATCGCGAGTCGAAAACCGACTGTCGAACAATGCGTATTAAACGTGCAATTTAAACCCCACTGTCTTCCCACGGCCGCATAGTGTTATTAAAACTTGCAAAATTATGAATCACAGTTTCAATTAAAGGTTGATGCAGTGGTGACACAATGACGCTTAAGAATTCTCAGGAGGAAGCACAGGTAGTCGAAGCAGGAAACGGCATCGATGAGATTCAGAGATAATTACATAATTAGACACATTAACTGCGATGAATCATCTTGTCCGATCGAGTCATTTTTTATATTTTCGAGGAATTCGTCGATGTTTCATATGTAAATCGTATTATTCTTTCGAACGTCGTAAAACATTCGTTTAATACTCAGTTTCGAATATTCTTTAATGTAGGTTCAGACGATGAACCGTATTAGGCTAAAGAAGGACTTTTGAGAATTCTATGTTGAATGGTTCTTGAAAGGGCCACATAATACATAATTCTTCTCGCTCTGCTAAATGTCGTCTAATACCCTACTGTAATCAATCCTCCACAAAGTCTCCATCTGTCTTCCATCCATCTCAATTTTGATCGATTACCGCTGAACCACGTAGTTGAGCCCTTTCGTCACAAATGGATCATCTACAAAAATTAGCAGATTTCCAGAAACCTTGGAAGACCTTCATTCTTTGGAGAAAGCGACAAATTGGTGAAGTTTCTTCAATTCAAAATTGTCCTTTGAAACTAACATAAGTAGGTAATTGAAATATTGGTTTGATAGAATTGTAGAATAAATGGAAAACAGTTGCGAGATGCAAAAGAGACGCGTACTCAACTCGAAGACAATGAGACTCATTGAAAGAGGTCGACGAGTGTCAACGTGAGAGCTTCGAACTTTCGTAATCGACCAGCACAGGTTGGCCCTCGATTCTATAACCTTCTCTCTGACCTGTTTTCGTCCGCGAACATACCTTTATCTCCTTCGAATGTCCTCATTTAATTACGATTAATGTGATTCTTACCTATTTCAATAGAAACAATAACTTTTTCTCATGATATCGCGATTACTTGAAAAACATGATACCATAAATGGATGTTGATATGAACTGAAAGTAATAGTAATTTTGTAGATGAGGTAAAAATGTTTTCACAGAACCGCCGTGTCATATAGAGCAAAAAACAGTAAAAACTGGATTGTTTGACGTTGAGATTACAGCGATCAATAATCTAGTACCACAAAAAGTCACTTAGTCGTTTCAAGTAGAAATAGGATTTACCATAAACATAAAGTTACATAAAATATCCAGCCATATTTATATAGTACCTTGAATACTCATATAGCGTTAAAGCCAGATTATAGCAAAGACTATACAGACAGTCTTTTTTATTTTTTAATAAAAACGACATCACACATCATCAATTTCTCAGAGGTAAGTCTTTAAGTCTTTTTCTTTCATCTTCTTGGCATGTCCCTTCCTCCCTCGGATCCTCCCACGCTTATTCACGATTCGAGACGTTGTCGATGCGACGACGACACCATGGTGTACATGCGGATCCCCACTTCTCGCTACGGATGACCTCCCTATGGTCGCGTTCGAACTGCTTCGCAGGGATAAATGTACACTTGGCGTCGGCTACGAAGCTTTTAGCGACGCCAGAACGAAACTGCCGCTCGTCAACAATCGTCGTCGCGTCTCATCGTGCATCTTCCAAGACCGCGAGATTCATATGCCTGCTGCTCGATCCAAGATCGAACAGCGTCTCAACGGAGGAGCGACGCTCCATCATCGGGGGATGAAAGGACTCGTAAGTCTCTCCCTCTTTGAGGTGCGCTACGACTTCGCTTGACGATTCACTCGCAAGAGAAGGGACTGCAGAATGTTCAGACGATGAAGAAGGAAAAAGGGTGAAAGTGCACAACGTGAATGGGATAAAAATTTAGAAGGATCAATGTATAAATCGGCGAATCTGTTAATTAGAGAGTTTCACGAGTTCATTGTTGTCGAAAAAGTGCGCGGAATTAAAAATGATGGTTCGAAAGTTTGATCGATCGGATCGCAAAAATTGCTAAATTGAAGTTCCTTTGATTTAGATCGATAAAGCCCTCGAGCTTTTTTTTAATTTGGTGATAGAAGTGTGTGAATCTTGGAATGCGCACGTACATATTTAAAAGGTTTGATCCAAGAATACTTCTTATGCAAGATATTGGAAGAATATTTCTCGTTTCAAGAGGATAATGGAAATTTCCAAGCTTTTATTTTTACAGTAACAGTAGTGCATAAATATTAGGTACTAAATGAATGAGATGGAGGATGCTGTATAAAAGATCCAATCCGTGACTTAGATATAGCAAGTATCTCACGTGTCGGTTAATAGCGCCGCGTGATCGTGCTCGAATATCGAACGTCCAAGGTGGCAGGATCGGCATGCGATCGTAGATGACCCACTACTCTGCATGAATAGCCTTTCATGCTAAAGGAAGTAGGTAACGCGAAGACATAACACGTGACCGTGAAGTCAAGAAATGAATTACACGTAAACGTCCTAGTTGTAATACAGCTCGCGGTATGATTTACGAAAACAATGTACTACCTACCACGAGTCAATGGCTCTCATTAAATTAATCAACGTAGTCGTTATCTCAAATCATGCTAACAATAGGTTTCATTTACATTCTCTGTCGTCATTCGTGTAATTTGAAACAATTTTCCAGAAGAAGATAAAGAAATTTTTCCAACATTAATTATTCGAATTTAGCATAGAACTAGGTAGCAATTGAATTTCACGAAATTTCACGGAATTTCTCCAAAATTCACCAAGGTTCCTCTAAAGTTCGCTATTCTCAATATTTGACCCAAAAGAGAACGAACAGATGTGCGACATAGAAAGGAATTCTTCATCTCTTTTATCGATTCTATTTATTAATAGCAATATAGTTTCAGTCGATGCCATAAGTGTCTACTATCGGCGCAATAGTGATTGATAGCAGTACATTATAAGCAGTTTCTTGCTAACTATCATATTATAATGTTTTTAGTTGTATCTTATTAATCAAATGGAAACCTCGAACAAGGATCTATAGCACATTGTGGTAACAGCTAAATTAACCGCGAAGTATGGTTCTACAGTTCTCAGCGGTCGTTTTAGTACACACAGATTGAAGATATTTCGTCGTTTATTATTAGATATTTAACACGTTAGGTGTTTATAACTTATGAGACAGTATAAACCGCTTAAAAACCGCTTTTTCCCCAAAATGTGCTAAATGCACTTTAAACCCTTCTTGTCATTTTCATTCAATTATTACAATTTTCTTCCAGATAATGCACGCTTGGATTTTTTTTGGCTTACTCTCCCTGGTCTCTGGCCAGCTAGACCTACCCTCTCTGAACGACGACTCCCGAAACAATCTCGGGAGAGGTATTCCACCTACCGAAGCACAGCTACAAGATATTTTAGCCAGATTAGATTTCCTTGGTACCGAAAGATGTAACGCCAATGTGGCGGCGCAGTGGGCCTACGAAACCGACGTGAGCGAATACACGCAGCTGCAGGCGGTAAATACAAATTATCCACCAGCATGTATAATTTAAATAACAATTTCTATGAATTCGTGTTCAAAATACCCGCATACGATAAAAACTTTTGGACCTCGTGAAAGTATCGTTCAAAAGAGTTAGTTTCACCTTATTGTTCAACCTTTTCATTCTTCGTTAATGTCACCAACCTACGGCCATGAATTCTGTTCGAGTTAATGCAACCGACCTTGATTAATTTCAACCGGACTAATGACCAGTCTCCCCACGAGCCTGCGGCTTAATTAAAGTAACGTTCAAATCAAACAAGCCAACTAACTTTAGGACTTCAAGTTTACATGTTCCATGACTAATATGCTACTCCGAGATTAATCCAAGCCTAATAGTGTATAGATAAACAAAATGTCCTAGGAGAAAACCGAGTTTCTTTATTTTATCTTCCATAAGACATTTAGAGTAAAAAAGAAATAAGCGAGATACACTATAGATCTCGGTCCACTCATTTTCTATTTACTTCAAAAAATAGATTCTACAGAATACCTATTTGGAATAGTGCAATAATTTTTCTATTTTTTATGCAATACTTGTCCTTTACTTAAGATAAAAAGACGCTAAAACAGATGCTTTCATAATCCTCGTTATGTGATATTCTACACTAGACAACCGTTCGACGTTACTCGATGGCACTGAGACCTCGACCTGCTCTATGATTCGGCTCGTGAGACCGTGGAACGTCATCGTGGCTGTCAGGACGCGGAGAATCGCGATTTCGCGTGTACGCGGGGATTTCCTCGACGGTAGCCGGCCTTTATTGTCCGCTGAGGGGCCGAACACCTCCGCGGGAAACGTTCCCAGTCGTTGCCATTGTACGATCGGTGTGTCCTGAATGATTTCGCAACGGAACATCAGTCCAAACGAACTTAGAACGGAAATCTTCAGCCTTCAACGCGAAATCCGCTAGACATTCGCGTGATGCTAATGATAATCGTCGGCTATCCTTGCCTCGTTTCTTCATATTATTTTTTGTTATTCTTGGAAGCTTAGGGAAACCCGTGTATCGTCAGTATGCGACCTACTGTGAAACACGTGCATGGGATTCTTCGACGTTGCTTAATACTGATATGCCTCTCATGAGACTGGGAATTTTAATGTATTTGTATGAAATTTAAGCGTTCAAAGATGCATAGAGCGCGTATAATGTGAATGAATTTACAAAATATCCGAAGTGACGCTTCCGTTATAATTAGGCCGTATATCGTATAATAAATTTATGCAAATTAAATTCTTACGAACATAACTAAAAAACTGCAACTATAGCAGTGATTTGTTTCATCTATCAAGCATTACAATGAGCATTGTCCTTTGGATATTTATATATTCTAAAACTAGCATAATTTTGTCACACCATAATTTTATATTACGTAATTAATTTTCGAAATAGAATTATCCTATGTTCGGTGAGAACAGGTGACTGTTACCAACGCGGTAAAAAATATTTAGTTCAAAAATAAGTATCAATTTTATTTGGCATAAAGCATAAATGTTAATTGAACATTCTAGAAAAACTCGTTTAAGAATTTTCTTCGTTTCGGGCCATTCGTTATCGATACATCTAAAGTGAAAAGGAAACGTAGCACTCTTCTACTTTTACTTTTATTTAGAGTTCCTCTACGATTTACACTATCTGAACGACTCCCAGTGACCCATAAAGAAACTCGTATACACTTTCTCGAGCATTTTCCTTTCCTCCAGCGCCTTCGTCTATCTCTGATCCCAGGAAGAGTAAAGATAGCAACGTTTATCTCTAACGGTAAACCTGGCGTTGGTTGATTTGCACATCGAACCAGTTTCGCTCGGACGATCACCTTCGTACCGATTACTACCTTGTTCTTCGACACAAGACTTGGATATTCTAACACAAATTACGCCTGTGATCGAATGAATAAATACATTAAAAGATTAATGATATTAAGATATTTATTTTAACAATGTTTATTAAAATAGAAATATTTCTTCGCAGCTGGAAGCTCAGAGAATATACGCAGACTTTCAAAATCAAGCCTGGTTCTTGATTTCGAAGATCGATAAGGATAACATTAGAGATCCCGTAGTCAGAAGACGTCTTAGATATTTATCTGTGGTTGGACCATCGGCGTTACCACCGGATCAGTTGGACAGAGTAAATAACTACTTAATATGTACTGCTAATCCCATCAAGGCCCAATTTTTGTTTAGCGTAATAATTGTTTAGCGTATGGTTTTGTAATTTGAAAAATTTGTTTTGTAAAGAAGATATAATACACAAAAGTTTGAGGCTAGTTTCACCGTAAACAAATTATACTTATCATTTATATAGTTTGCGTTAAAATTACACAACTTACAAACCTATTTGTACAATAACACATTAAAATATAACGTTTCATATACGCGATATCACGCGTGAAAGAATTAACCAGATTGTGTTACTCGACGTAACTTCATTTTATTAACTAGTTTCCCATACAAGAAACATTAATAATACGCAAACAAAAAATAAAACAGTTGCTCCCTCGTAATCGATTCAATTCACGCCAAAGGAAGGCGTTCAACTATCGTGCAAGAAAGGAAACCCAAAGCAATAAACGAAAAACAAGCAAATCTATTCTATCACGCACTTCCTTTCGTCGCATAACAGGCTCGGTCAAAGAAATAGGAAGTATCTGTCCATAATAGATTACATTTTCTAAAAATAAATGATTACGGAAACAAGACGGAACGAAAAATAAGCTACAAGACGTTCTATCCATCGAGACACAGGAAATAACGTCTCCTCAATTTTTTTTCTCTCGCTTTCCTCTCTAAAGTTTTCTCTCTATTACTTTTCCCTCTTCTTTTATTCCTCTCTTCTTTTTAGTGAATTACAACCTTCTTGTTTCCTCCATTTCGTATCGAGAATTTTGAAGAATTCTCTGTTACTTCTGATGAATCGAAATAGCTTCCATCAGTACATTTTCCGATTATCATTTTTAATCAATAGAATAAATCAAAGTTTAGTCTTTCTTGTATTTTAAACAAAAGATCGAACAAACCGAAACGTATTTTTTTTATTATATATTAAAATCTTTTGCTCATAATTTGCGATAGTTAAGCTTCCACATGGAGCTCTTCTCATGCCTATTGTTCCCTTTTTTTCAGTACAATAGCGTGATCAACGATATGCTGGCAGTGTATAACGATGCTAGCATTTGCGCGTACAACGATCCCTTCCGGTGCGGGCTGCGGCTGTATCCAGGTAATGAATAACATCTGAGAACTCGAGAGTCGTCCGAATCGGGGGAAAATAGATGGCGATACGATTTTCACGGCTTGCAGCCAGCGAAATTTCCACGGTATGCGTAAGCGGCCACTGTTACGCGCAAGAAAGTGCCTCTCTAATCGTAAAACGGCTAAACGATGAATATTTCAACATACTACATCGAGGCGGCATCACAAAGAGATTCGCAGAGGGTTTCATGAAAATTCATCGCGATTTAATTTGCAATTTTTTCTCTGCACGATACTCTTCTTTAATTTTCTTTGTTCTTCTTGGTTGAATTATTCATGTGAAGCTTTTCTAGAAATTTTCCTTTTCAGCAAGTAATTTTTTTATAGAAAATGTTTATATTGTCTGGCAAATCATTTCTCTCCTTAAAGGATTAATAAATTAATTCATATCAGAGATCTCCCACAGAATCTACATATATTCTACAGATCTTCATACAGTGATGCACTTTAATTTTCTTTTTTCTTGTTGAATTACTTACGTCCTTCCTTTAAATTTTCTCTTTTTCTAGCGGAAGCCATTTTCATGCAGTTTTCGTATCGACGGAAAGTGCAATTTCCTATAGAATGTGCCAATGATGTTTGAAAGGTCTCTCAAAGGATTAATAAATTAATTTATATCTGGGATCTTGTAGAAACGATTTCTTCTCGCGTTACATGATTAAGAAATATGTTTTTCAAGCGTCTAGTTATACTAAATGACGCCTCGTAAACCGCACGAGGCAATCAACGCCCAAAGAGCAATGTATTTAGAAACACGGAAGTTTACGATCCTCCTTGCGATTCTACTTGCTTCGCGGTTCATTTACTCGATCAGGATTCAGTCTGTAACAACGAGCGTGCGCGTAACACGCGGAAAGAGAAAAATGCGTAATAGTTCTTAAGTCTCCAACGATTTCATCGGTAAGCGCTCTGTCGTTCAGCCAATCGTTTTATAGAACTTCCCCATAGTTTTAGAAAATCGTTGCTCGTGTAAAATTGCTATTTAATGACGATTACGTAACACGATCCTATTAAAAGATAACTGCAAGCTTATGAATAAGACCGCGAAGCTGGGTCTCGTTCGTCATTTACATTAAAATTATGCAGGTCAACTCCATCTTACATTTCTTTAACCATTGCGGTAATCAGCTTTGCATGGAGCTTAGATCACATGTGTTGCAACAAACCATCAGAATCGAATCTGTCACACGATCATCGTGAAAGCTACTCGAGGTGAAAATCGTAATCGAACAGAGAGACGCTTCTATAAATAGACGGTTTACTTATTCATCATCGGATAAAGATGCTTGGTCGTTTATTCTGAAATAATGTTGTTTCGCAGATATATCGCAGATCATGGCGAAAAGCCGCAATTGGGACGAGTTGCAGTATGTCTGGGCAGAATGGAGAAGACGAAGTGGGATGAGGATCAAGGACCTCTATCAACAACTCGTCACGTTAAACAATGAAGCTGCTAGATTGAATAGTATGTTCGAAAATAAACGCTACTTTTAACTTTTTAAAAGTTGAATTTCCTAGCTTGTAAGGAAAATTGTTTTTCCTTTTTTAAACGTAGTAGAATACATTTTTTCGGATGGCTTTTGCACTAAAATTTAGAAGCTGAACGCGAAGAATTAAAGATATCCGGCAGAAATAATCGGTAACTATAAAAGAATGTATCGCTGCGCAGATTTCACTGATGCAGCCGAATATTGGATGTTCCCCTATGAATCTCCAAACCTACAACAAGACATCGATGAAGTATGGGAAATGATACGTCCTCTTTACGAAGAATTACACGCGTACGTTCGAAGAAAATTGAGGGACCTGTATGGACCTGAAAAGATCGGCACTCATGCTCCTCTTCCAGCTCATATTCTTGGTACTAATATGGTTTTTAATACATTCAATATCGATGTATTTTCACAACGTTGTTCCTAATTAGGTTAGCTTTTGTAGTTATGACTTACACCTTGACAAATTGGTCGTGAAATATTCTCTTTTTATCGAATTCTTAAATCAATAATATTTTTGTATAATTAATTTTTCAAACTAAACTGATTTCTTTCGTTGAAAAAACATCCGTTTGTAAGCGATAACTATTAACAATACAAATATCTACCAACGTTTGAATTATTGATATCTTGAATGAGTTAATGCTATTATAAAACCCCGCGTAAGGTGTGCAGGTATTCTAAAATATAACGAAAATTAACAGGTAATATTTGGGCACAATCGTGGACCAACATCATCGATATCACGGTACCGTATCCAGGGAAAAATTATCTGGACGTGACGCAGGAAATGCAGGCCCAGGTAAAAGTTACACATTACGTAATTCTTATCAGAAGAATTAAGTTGGACAAGCTAATGAATTCAGTCCAGACCGACCATTGTTTCCTAGTAGAATCGAAAGTAACCTGTTACGATTCGAAAGCGACGGTGAAGTAAGTGAAGATTCGAGAAATGCAATGTTTCACTCACCTATTTCCATTGGAATTCTCTGTTCCTTTTTCTCTGTTGTCTTCATTGTTCGTTACGTAATACATGAAACTTTGAAACCTTTAGTCATTGATTACGCACAAAAAATATTGAATTCGCCCTCTTACAAATAATACCACAGGATTCAATTTTTTAAATTTCACGACTGATTCTTGTTTATGCTTCGAATATCCGATTACAATCGTTCTTACTATTTCTTGCGTTTATCCATTTTCAATTATGCCGAAAGACTTTCACACTGCGTGTTTACATGAATTTATGTTTTATGTGAGATAAGGCTCCGTAGGAACACATTCATTGAAACTAATTAGTTGTAATTAGCTCTCGTATCATGTTTTAGTTAGTCGGAATTGAAATTGAAATTGTTTTGGCAATTGATTTAGGGTTACACGCCTATCGAGATGTTCAGGATCGCGGAGGAATTTTATCTGTCCCTCAACCTGAGCGCCATGCCTCCTGAATTCTGGGCTGGTAGCATAATCGCGGACCCTGGAAATCGACCTTTAATTTGCCAGGCTTCTGCTTGGGACTTTTGCAATCGTTTAGATTACAGGTAACTTCATCGAGTTTTATGCTTATAAAAAGACTACGAATGTTTATATATGTGAACATTTATATTTTGCAGATAATCAACAATTAGATAAATTAAATAAATCAACAATTAGATTAGTTATGTTTAAAAACGACTAAAATATTAAAACTTAAATGAAAGAATATTTTATCTTTCAAGTGCAATAATATGCACGTTATTTAGAGAATTCTATTTCAATCATTTATACACATCACTGTATATATTTGCGTGTTTACGCTTGTTATAAAATAAATATCCGCAATCTAATTATAAAAAACAGATTAGCTAATTAATTTCATTTTTTTCAGAATCAAGATGTGTACTAAGGTTACCATGAAAGATCTAATCACAGTACATCACGAAATGGCTCACATTCAATACTTCTTACGTTACAGCGGATTGGCTCGAGAATTCAGAGACGGCGCCAATCCAGGTAACGTAGATGTTTCCTTTCAAACTTGCAAATCAATTATTTTTTATGTTGCGAAGTAAAATCAACATTTTTAAAAAATCCATCGCGAACTACTGAAAAAAGGTAATCAAACGTACAGACTTACTTTCCTTCCTTTCGCAAAGATCAAGATCTTTCAAACGATCGAATATCGACCACCCGGAAATCGTGCGTCATTAAATGAAATACAAGCGTTTCGATGTTCTGAAAATGGAACAAACGAGGAATACACACGATAGTGAAGCCTATAAAAACGGACGGTAGGTTCATGAACGAGAAACGATGGAACGACACGCGATAGCACGATGGACATAAGTCGCTGTCGTTACATAAGTCTGGTCCGCTCCTCGACTTCCGGTAGGCGGTCCACTCGGAACTTTTACGACTAATAGCGCGAAAGCGAGAGCGAGAACGATACGGTCGAGGCGGATTCGCGCGAGTACCGGCCCGGTGTGTCCGAATGGATGTGCGAGTACTCTCTAATCCGTACGCCAGATCGTTAAAATATTTTTATTATGGTATAATCGCGCTTTCACCGTTCCGCCAGTCGGTCGTTCGCCTAACCGCCGACTAGATACTATGAAAATAAATCTTGAACGATGCCTGTGACCTTGCGGAGTCGCTTTATGGGGCCTGGAAAGTCGGTTGGAATAACCGGACTATGTTAAGTGGATAGATATTATGGAAAATTTGACGGTCACGGGCAATTCCTGAAATAGATTTAGGATAGAGTAAAATAGGCTATTTCGAATCGGTCAGATATTTGAGTCGAGTCAAAGAAATTTTTCAGCAATCTTGTAATTTATCAAACTCGGTTATGAAACATTCTTAATCGATCTACATTTGAGATTATTTGACTTGTTAGTAGCAGCGTGATGAATAGTAAAACGTATCGTATACTTACATTGACAACTCGATAACCATCATTTTCTATGAGGATATGATAACTTGTACTGATAAAAAGGAAATAACTTTGTTCAATATTAATACTTTCAGTTGTAATTTGAAGCTTAGATGACTCAAATAATCCTATCTCTGTAGTTTAATGAGAAAATTACTAATGATCGACTGGAAAGCCAGATAAAATCCTGCTCACAGGATAAAATTGTTATTGAGCTGTAAGAAAGTTACGATTCAATAAGAACAATCTCTCGTCGTTCATCGTTGAGGAGTGAAAGAGACTGGAAGATACTTACTGGTTGACAATTTGTCTGTCTAATGCACCTGTCGCTTTCCCTCATGGTTATCGCTAGAAGCAAAACGTGCTTGTTTATACAGGATTCCACGAAACAGTGGGTGAAGCCGTTGCCCTCAGTGTCGCCACTCCTCGTCATCTACAAACCCTCGGTTTGGGTACCAAGTTTATCGATGAACCTACAGCGGATATTAATTACCTGTTCTCTTTGGCGATGGACAAATTGGTGATATTGCCATTCAGCATTGCGATGGAGAGATGGCGGTGGGACATCTTCCGCGGTTACATCACTAAGGAAGACTACAATTGTCATTGGCATCGATTGATGGAACAATACGCTGGAATCAAGCCGCCTGTTTTGAGAACTGAGGATGACTTCGACCCTGGCGCCAAATATCACATTCCTGCGAACATCCCTTACATTCGGTAAGTTTTTAATTTTTGAGTTTCTAAGATCGAGTTACTGGAGTCCCGCCAAGTTCAAAGCGACAACGCACACCGTGCATTGACAAGGTATCAGATAATATAATATTAATTCCTTTTAGTTTCTCCATTGGAAGTTTTTTATTGTTGGAGAGAGATACGAATATCGTGGAATTTTATCAAATTTTATTCGAAATCAACGAAATATACAGATATATCGATAATATTATCAGAGTATCTGTTGTCTCTTCTGGTGGCTCCCGATAAATCTAATCACCGAACTCCATGATCCATATCTCATACTACAATAAGAGTCAAATATCTCAAACGTAATAATATTTTATCAACGAAACGCGCAAGTACATCGACACCAATTAGATTTCTCCTTTTATGAAAACCATAAGGAGCGATTTCACTTCTGATCATTCTTAATTCGTTGCCAACTGCGTTTCGTCTCGTAGTATCATCGATACATTGGGAGAAAGAGGCTTTCTCCGTGTTAACGATCCTCTGCAAAGGAGCACGTGGTTTTGTTTAAACAGTTATTGAAACTTTTCGGCTCGTCCATCGGCATCGTTACGTATGCATGTTCGATGAAAGTTTCTCTTACTTCAACCACGGCCAGCTTAATTGTTGGCCAGTTTTTTGTTGCGTTAATCATCAGATCGCTTCCGTGTTAACGCATTCGCGAGCAATCGTTCTTGCCCACCGACCGGTTACTTTCCAACTTTTCCAGGAACCATTTGTTACGGACGTAACGTTGCGTTACCGCGCATCGCGAAAGTCGATTCGGTGATGCTATCGCATTTTCCGAGTTGGACGCTCTCCTTAAGAAGGAAAAGGCAGTTACGAAACCGCCGAATAAAAATGTAATTAACGGCCTTGATTCAATTCAGAATTACTTTTTGGCGAATGTTTGAGAAATTTTGAAACGGATTCTCATAGAATTTGTTTAACTTTTATGGTATTTTGAAGGTTTGGTTAGGAGACGAAGCAACCAATAGAAAGAAATTCAATTTTTGTTCTTTGGTTTTATTAGAAAGAAGCGAAAGACATGGTATATGGGCGTCCGACGAGCTGAGCTCAAATCAGTCACTCTGCCGACGGACGCCGCGTGAATCTTTATACAATACATCGTACATGTACAATTTGTGTATTCTTAGGTACTCAGGTATCAAAGGATATCAAAACACTAGGATCTAAATAGAATGAATCACTGGCTGAAGAACGCTTTCTCCCAAAAACTAGCGTCCACTTCGCAACTCATTCTTTCTATAAATCGTTCTTCAACCCAGCGAAAATCATTATTTTTTGAGAAATAATTAAAATAAATATCCCCTCGTCGCGTCGAAAATGAATTCTAAGGAATTTCCAAAAGGGGGAAATCAAGGCGACGCGACAATTTTGGCGGTCGAGCCGATATTACCAGGTATCAATGGCGACCTTTCGATCTTAATTCTTCTAATGCCCTCCATAACTAGACTCATAGCCACCACCAGATTCATAACCTCCAGATTCGTAACCTCCAGATTCGTAACCTCCAGACTCATAACCTCCTCCGTGGCTGTGCACCGACACAGGTACAGGTACCTTAACTGGATAGGGCACAGGTTTGGCGACAGGCACTGGTACTGGCTTCGTAACTTGAACTGCTACTGGTCGTTCGACTGGTACTTTAACCGCGTAGGGTACAGGCTTTTCAACAGGAACCGGCACATGTTTCTCCACTGGGTATGGCGCTGGTATGGGTACCTTAACTTCGACAGGTACTGGCTTTTCTACGGGAACTCCGACTGGTCTCTCTACGGGTACCTTGACTGGATAAGGTACAGCCTTCTCGACAGGCACTGGTACCGGCTTCTCAACCGGAACTGGGTACGGTTTCGAGATGTGAACGGGATAAGGTCGGTCAATAGGTATATTCACAGGGTACGGTACAGGTTTGTCAACAGGGAATGGCTGGGGAACGTGTTCCACGACTTTCACGGGGTATGGTACGGGCTTCTCGACGGGGTACGGCTGTGGTACAGGTACCTTCACGGGGTAAGGTACATTCTTCTCCACTGGATACGGTTGTGGCACGTAAACTTTGTACGGTACTGGCCTTTCTACGGGTATTTGGACAGGATACGGTATCTTCTTCTCCACGGGATAGGGTTGTGGAATATGGACTGGTACTTTGACCAAAACCTTTACTGGTACCGGAATCTTCTTTTCCACTGGGTACGGTTGTGGCACGGGGACCTTGACTGGGTATGGTATTTCTTTCTCTACTGGATAGTGGACCTTCTTCTCGACCGGATAGGGTACCTTCACGCTCTTTACGATCGTGACTTCCTTTACTTTGCCACCTTCGTCATAGCCTCCACCAGAACCACCGCCGTAGCCACCACCATAGTCACCTCCTTCGTATCCACCGCCATGGCCTCCCGACAGAGCGATCTCATGACCTCCGCCGTAATCACCGCCTTCGATGCCTCCCTCGAGATGACTGAGTCCTCGTTTCTCTTGCTTCTTTTCTACGTTAGATTCTTGAGCTGCCACGTTCTTCGTGGTTTCCTTCTCGCACACCGCTGTGGCCAGTAGGCCAAACAATATCGTAGGAATCTGAAATAAAATAGTTACTCCTATCCTATCTCTTTCATAAATTTTATGTTCGAAACAGTTCGAAACTTTATCATATCGTATAAATAGAATCATCTAGAAGAATTAAAAAATTTCAAAGTTCTCCGCCTTTAAAGGATTCTATTCGAGTATTTTATTCGATGTTCTTCGCTTTTAAAGGACTCTATCTTATAATTCTGTTCAACGTTGATTCTCTGGTTCTCAAGGATAGTTGATTGTCGGTACTCACCAAAAATTTCATGTCTTACAGGCACTCCGATATCTGGGCGAAGTCCAGACTTTACTGGATACTTCCCCCCAAGATGCCACCGACTTTATAGTCCGCTTTCCCCCGACCATGGATCGATCGCGAGCCCCCCTGTTCGCGCTACGTTCGCGGAAAAGTGAAACACACGCGTGTGGCGCGCGAGCGAGCGACCGGCCGCTTGTTCGACGCGCGCGACGTTATAGCATTTTTTCAAATCTCAACCGGCCGCAACTTTGCTTCCATAACCCGTTGCACTGGCGTAGCTACGACCACGGATTCTCTTCCAGGGTGAAAGGAAACGCTCACTGCGCGGAAGACGTACGAGTGTTTATCAAGTTCCCCTCCTGCCTCGATTCGCGCCTCTATCTCTAAATCGATCGATTACATCGAAACGATACCGAGTTTAACGTAGATTGCAACTGTACTTGCATCTTACACAGACTATAACAGAGAATCAACAGTAGGAAAATACGTGAAACCAGTGGTGCAAATATGGTAGAGATTATAGAGACGATCGACGACACATTAGGGAGGAATACGATAACTAACTGACATATTTGCTGAATTTTATCGTACAAAGAGAATGTTCACGGTAGACTGATCAGAATCCTAAATGTAGTTTGCCTAACAGTTCTGTTAGATTTCCTTGTTTTTCCTTGGTTTTCATCATCGATTGATTTCCATTAAGACAAACCCGCAGCAAGTAATTCAGCTTCTCTTTTTACGGAAAATTTCAACGATTGTCAAGTACACTTACTTATCGTTATTTTTGACCCGAATGTTGGTACCTGAGAATTTCACAGTTAAATCTAGAAATTAGATATTTGAGGAAAATTGGAGCTTTAGGATGTAAATCGTGTTTTGGAAGATATACAACGCCACTTATTGTTGACAACCTTTGCTGTAATAATCGTATTAACCACGTAATTCTAAAAGCTCGCCTATTCTAAAAGATCTTGTTATTTTACGCCAGTGGACTGGCGAATTCATATTTAGTCCAATGCTCCTCTCTTTCTCCTTCTCTCTGTCATACTTCAAAGTTTCTCGCCAAGGCGATTGCCCCCTCTGTTTCCGGTCCCCGTAAGAGGACGCGCGACATTTCCATCACCTGTTGTAGATCCTCTGGTCTGCGGCGAAATTCTCTTTCGTCGAACGAAGAGAGCGTGAGGAAGGAAGAAGGCTCGCGGTGGGAGAATTAACAAAAAAATGAAAAGCGATGGTGGAGGGAGCACCGAACATACAGAACGTATGACGGGTGGGATCCACAGATATACCTATGCTTCGTGTCGGTAGCGGATAAAGCTACGTCCGACTCGAGAGATCGATCGTGTAGATCCTGAGCTCGCTGCAACGCGATCGCCTCGATAAACGATAATCACGTTACGCTTGGAGAGAGTAAGACGAGAGAGTCTTACCGAATTCTATTCGTTTCCGTAACGTATACTACCGAACATTTCGTATGTTATAATATAATATTATACGTTCTCGCATATAATTCGTTGGTCATTTGGTAAACGTAAATTGAAAATGTATACGCTGTACGGTTACGAAATGGAGGAAGTCAACCCACACATTTTGTATTTGCTGTATGCTAGACTGTTAATCCTAAAACTGGAAAGGTAATGATTGGAATATTTAGATGGAAAACTATACGCGCCGTTGCTTTTTAATCGCCAGTTTACATAGTAATTGTGCGACCTTAAAAGTAAAATAGCATGAGGGAGAAGTAATAAATACCAAGGAATAAATACGGTGATATCATTGATAGATCAGATGAAACATTTGCTGATTTTTGATGCGTGAAAGTATCGTGAGTTTCTAAATTACCATCATCAATTAAAGATATATGAATTATACATCGTTATTGACGTCTAGGAATATTTTACTACAGGAAGTTAAATTACTGGATTTAAGAGAAGAGTTAAACACGATCTTATATTACTCGATCATTAGGTAATTTCTTCGTGATAATCATTACTTTTCGCGAAGTAGCAGTTTAGAAAGTAATTTTACAAGTTTAGAAGATTGATCTAAACTTTAATTTAATACATAAAAATATGAATTCAGAAGAGAATGATTTTTAATCCTTTGTAATTGAAATTTTACGAGTACTTCCCCCAAAAAAATCTACTCTTGAGGAACAGAACAATTCGAGAAATATGCATATCGATTGAAGCGTTAACGAGTTTTCCGTGAGAAACTCACGTAATTGCAGTCATGCGTTTAATTATTCGCGAGAAATTAATCTAATGGAAGAGAAACACGCGAAGACCGATAAGAAAACAAGGTCTCCAGAGTGTATAGTATTAGAAGCAAATTTATTTACATTAATCAGAAAATCAACTTATAAATGAGAATTATTCCTAAAAATAAGAATCCTGAACATCTTTGCTTTTGGAGAATCAACGATGCTGGAAATCAGTCAAAATATACATTTTACATTACACGAAACAACTAGAAGATCGTTACTATGAACAGTTTTACTGAATTAAACAGCATTAAAATATGTACATTTTTCTTTGCATGGTATACATTTACTTGAATTCTTCAAGTAATGTTAGTAAAATTTGATAAATTAAATATTTCCTCAAAAAGTGATTCAATTTCAGTGATTATCAATTCAATTCAAGTGATTATCAAAGAGGATAACCTTTATACAGTGTAAAACGTTACCTTAATAAATAGAAAAATCAAAGTGACACGAGAAACGATCCTCTACTTGTTTTAAACAATATATAATAATACATACGATCCTTGTCATCCCTAACTTATCACTCATCACAAATTCAATGCACCCGATCCACAATTCGATCTTCTACTGTTTCGATCGAATATTTCTCTTCTTACGTCCATCATTAGCTTCTATATTCTTCTCATCTTCCCTCGAATCTCCTCGGTCCTTCCATCCATGAGAACTACCTTGGTCCCAATCAAGATTCACTGGTACTGGCACTTGAACCCAATAAGGGAATGGTTTCTCTACTGGTACTGGTACCGGCTTTGTCACATACACTTCGTACGGTCTGTCCACCGGTACTTTGATCGCTACTGGATAAGGTTTCTTTACCTCCACTTTAATTGGTCTCTCCACAGTATACGGTTTTGGCACTGGTACCTTTATCGGTATCAGTACCGGTCTTTCCACAGATACAGGGAAAGGTGCATCGACTGGTACCTTAACCTCAACAGGATACGGTTTGGCCACAGGCACTGGATACGGTTTAGCGACCTCCACAGGGTACGGTTTCGGTATTGGGACTGGATAAGGTCGATTTACGACGACCTTGACTGGTACTGGTACCTTCTTCTCCACTTCGTAGGGTTGTGGTACCTTAACTGGTACTTTGACCTCGTAGGGCACTGTCTTATCGACGGTGTACGGCTGTGGTACCGGCACCTTTACCTCCACCGGTATCTTTTTCTCGACGGTGTACGGCTGGGGAACTGGAATTTCCACTTTGTACGGTACCGGCCGATCCACCTTCACTCCGTATGGTACCTTTTTCTCCACTGTGTACGGCTCCGGTACCTCGACAGGTACATTTACGAACACTTTGACAGGGTATGGTACCTTTTTCTCAATTGTGTAAGGGTGTGGTACCGGCACCTTCACCTCGTAAGGTATATGTTTATACACAGAATATGGTACTTTTTTCTCTACAGTCACAGGTACTGGAATCTTCTTCTCAACTGTTAACACTTTTGGCTTTTCCCAAGCTGAAACCTCTTGCAGAGACAAATCGCTCCTTGGAAATCTTTTCCAACCTTCGTTTCTGATTCTACTTGGCCATTCTTTAAACGACCTTGATCTGAATCCTCTGGAGTACACCCAGTCCTCCGTGTCGTCCTCTGGTTCTCCTTCGTCTTCTAAAGACGAGGAATGACTCTCGTAAGTGAACTCCTCGCGATAAGGAACTTTTCGCGTGTTGGAGTAAGATTCCCGAATTTTCTTTGATTCAGTGGTGACATTTCCGCCTTCCAACGCTTTTTCCACTGCTCTTTCGGCTGCCCTTTCCGCAGCCTTTTCTACCGCGAGCTCCGCTGCCCTTTCGAGATCCTCTTTTCGGGTGGCGGAACAAGTTAGGATGATAGAGAAGCATAATAACGCGACGATGCTTTGCTGCTGTGTAGAAATTCCATAACTATTAGTTGAAAACGTTGAATTTTTATGGAATACGAGAAAGAGTAAAACATTTTTAAAACATTTTTAAAACGTATTTTTGGAAAATGTTGTCGAATCAAAGTGTATCATTGTTTTATACAAGATGAGTAGGAGATTCGATGGATACATCGATTTCCATGAAAAAAGTATCAAAATAATTGGAATTTAGTACTTTCTAGTACTACTTGCAATTGAAATATCGATTAAAATTTCAAAAAAAAAAATAAAATGATATAGTTCACCTTTGATCCGTTACAATATTCGCGAAAGGAGGAAAAGGAAGAATCTACTTAGTGAAACTCAAAGGTTGAAAATTCGAAATACCAACCAGTCGTCCCATGATTTTTCCTAGCCGCGGAGATAGATCAAGGTGCACTGAATCCAAACGAATGCTGCTCCAGTATTATTTATACACGGTGGACAACTTTCGCCTGTTCGACCAGCTAAATCTTTATAGACTTCGCGATATCCAACTTGTGACAATTATCCACTGTTAAACGGTCACTGTTTTTCATGGGAATGGTCCAGCGGAAACGTACAGGCATTTATTATTCGACTCGTAAAACTGTTTTATTCTCCGAGAAATAATTTTAGAACAGTTTTGCCGGATATTATTTTCACGGAAGCAATTACGATCGAAGGGAAGAATTTTCTATAACCAATCGCTTGAATACCTTTTATTACCTTTATTTAATTATACCTTTTATTTATTAAATTACTCACAGATACTTAAATTGTAATCGAATAAGCGTGAAATTTCTATCTTTTAATTTTTAATTGTATAATTAAACGTAAAAATTTGTGATGTCAACTAGAATTCGAACTAGCATTAGAAAATATTAATATTTTCAGAACGTAGTATATAAATCTGCTGGATCAATTTTCTAAAATTTTTCTAATAAATATTTTCATCTTTGTCGATGTATCATTGCATATCACGTTGAAGATGAGAATTTTCTTTTACATATACGATATGATTTTTCAATATATACGCGTGTATAAAACATATATTTCTTTAGAATTCATTGCAGCAGCTATAAATCGTTAAAAATTGGACATTTGATCGGTTTCAAAAATACCAGGAATCTTTCAATCATTCGATATATTTCTTTGAGTAACGTAACAGAAATAGTTATTTCTCATGTCACTAAATTATTCAACGGCGTTATCTAAAACGATTTAAACTTTCCGACACCTGATCCAATCGTATCCTAAATTTAAAAAATTTTAAAGTGGGAAGAAAATAACAAATTTACACAACTTCAAAAACCATGAAAATCTATTTACGGTGCACCAACGCAAAGGTTCTAGTTCATTAATCTGATGAAAAGCTCGCCAGGAAGGCAACGCTATTTGCGTTCGTCGGATGAAAGCGAATGACCACTTTCTATAAGCAATCGTAAAACTACGCGAACCCTGAACTACTACGAAGCCACGTTTTTCTATTCTCTGGAGCGAACGTTCCAGAATTTCTACCGCGGAACTCGCTACAAACAAAAATTGCAACTATAGTAATCTATCATTTGTTATTAGTCGTCCCTTTCGTAATATTCCATTTGTACGCTCAGTCAGCCTCCTCGCATCCTTAGGTTTCTTTCTTACCGTAGATCTTCATCGATCACACGAGCCATTGAGTTTCTCGTGTCTGGAACAAGTGAAACGAAAACCGGTATAAAAGTTCTTCGTGGCAATCTTGCCATTTTAAATCGCACCGCTTTCTTCCTCTAGCTCGACAATCAGATTAAATATATTCTCTGGTTCGCAACTTTGCGTGTCTTACGTTGAAAAATTTTCCAATCAAACAGATTCTTAGCTAAACAGGAAACGTAGAAAGTTTGGACGAAAGTCACGAAACTTGATTCTGTTGTCCCCGAATTGAATTACTGAAATTGAGATGAGCATACTACGATTACAATTATCATGTTATGGTACGTATAGCGATATTAAATTTTCTTAAATAAAAATCACATAATTTCGAAGCTTCTTCCTGGGAATGAAATTTAAAAAACATTTTGCGAGTAAATAGAAGGGATTACGATTATTCTTTGGTCGATTATTACGTTTATTTTAATCATATTAGAATCGTGTAATTTTCTGTCGATTATTATTGACGTTATTATTAGTTACGAGGAAAGTGTCTATCATGGTCGGAAGTTATGTCGTGGAAGTTCCATACGAATCAACAAGGAACATCAATGCAGTTAATCGGAACGAAGGCAAACGTGACCGGAAGGAAATCGATATCTTGGATTTCGTTGCATTTATGTAAAAAATACATCGTATCTTTTATCTAAATTATTCGAATGTTGTTTTCGGCCCTTATACATCTTTGCAAATTTATATTCGAACGTTATCTTATTGGAAACTTATAGAAATAAATTAACTAAGAATCGTAATATCGATATTTCTGTTACATAAATAGAAATTATTTAAAGAGCGATAATTACTAATGGCATCAATGCGCATGTACTACGGTAGAAACTATTCTGTCGATACGCCAATGCAGAACCAGAAAATGCATTCCACGGAATGTAGGTTGCAGTTCAAGTTTAATAATCGATGACATAGAAATTTTGAAATTCGCTACCTTTGAATTCTTTTTAATAAAACCAATTCTCCTGAAATTCCTCTGAAATTGCTAATACTGGTTAAACTGCGAATATTTCTACAATTTCATATCCTTGTGGCTACAAATAGAAGATAGAGAACCTAAACAGAAATTAATTTCCTTCTGACCCTCCTTCTCTCACTTTAGGAGCCTACACTTTAGATATTTTATATATTTTTACATATAATATACGTTTACATTTCCTACAAATGAGTAAAAATCCACAATCTAACTCCTAAATAATTCTAATAACTTTAAACAGCGAAACGCCTTCGATTCCACTTACGGTATTTGTACGCACAAAAATAAACGGAGAGAGCCACTCGACAATTAACATTGACTCCAAATTTCGCATTAAGAGACGCCCTGACAAAACAAAATTACTCTAACGTTCGCTATTCACATTCGTCGCTTTCAATCGTTATATTTAACCTCGTCCACGTCCTTTTCCTCTTCTACTGGTACAGAAACGGGTACTTTAACAGCATAGGGAACAGGCTTCTCAACAGAGTAAGGCACAGGTTTCGTCACGTGGACAGGTATGGGTCTATGAATTGGTACCTTCACCAGCACAGGCACCGGTTTTTCCACGGTATAAGGTACCTCCTTTTCCACAGGATATGGTGCTGGTACCGGAATCTTTACTTTCACAGGGATAGGTTTATCAACAGTTACAGGTACAGGTCTTGGTACCTTAACTGTCACAGGTACAGGTACTGGTTTATCAACGGGATAAGGGACAGGCTTGGAAACTAGCACAGGATATGGTTTAGGTACCGGTATCGGTATCGGTTGTTCCACCTCGATTTTTACAGGATAATGCACCACTTTTTCGACAGGATACGGTTGAGGCACGTGTACCGGTACTTTTATTGCTACTGGAATTTTTCGTTCGATAGGGATTGGTTCGGGTATTGGTACCTTAACTTCATACTGAACTTTCTTCTCTACTGGAAAGGGGTCAGGTATGTAAACCTTGAAAGGTACCGGACGATTGACCGGTACTTGGACCGGATAAGGTACTTCTTTGATCACTGGTACCGGTTTAGGTATCTTCAGTGGAACTTTGACGAAGACTTCTACCGGGTATGGTATTTTCTTTACGACTGGGTAAGGTTGTGGTACAGGTACTTTGACGGGGTACGGTATATTCTTGACGATGGGATATCGTATCGTTTTTTCGACTGGATAGGGCATTGCAACTTTTTTTATCACGGTTACCATCTTGTGCACGTCCTTGTGCACGTGGCGGCCTAGAACTTGACCCTCTCGGGGTACTCCGGCTGGTATATCGTTGGATTCTGGGATGCCGAAATCGTTGCTATTGGCTGCCATTTCTTTGAGATTTTCCGCTTCTGCTTGCTGGTCTTCCAAGGGCTCATTGTAGGAGTCGTCTGTAACGATCTCGTTTAATTAATATTTATGTACCGTTGTTGTAAATATAAATAGTATAACGATCGCTATATTATATGAAAAAAAATGTGTTCTGCAAAAATACTAGACGAGGAAAAGAGAAATTTGCAGTCTCACGGCTATAGGTTTTTATTTTAATGAAAATGGACCTTTTACAAAGCGCTTACTATAAGAAGATATTATAACTGATAAATTTACGTACACGTTTCTTCTACCGACTTTGTAGATCTTGCTCCCCGATCTGTCTTCTGCAAAGCACCGCTCGTTTTCTCTTCAGCAACAGGAAAATTTCCGATTTGTTTCCGATTAATACGATGACCAGACGATGTTGCCACGGCGAATATCAACAAGATTGCCGTATTTCTCTACAAGTGGAACAGATGAATTTTTTTACAAAAATTGTAACATTCTCGAAATTCACTTTTCAACATAATCACACGATATTCAGACACTCGGATGCAAATTTAGACATTCTTCTCGTTCCTCTCTTGTTTCAGAACGTACCATGTAATCCATCGTATAGATTAAGATCCTGGTGTCTGTAGGATTGAAAATTCTAACTAAAAAATTACAAACTAGACAATTACTAGGTAAATTACGTGATTCTACTAGATTTTGAAGAATTTGCGATGCACGTTCCAAACTGGACAGAAGTAAATCAGTTCTGTCGATTTACTATCTTTTATATAGTCGTTCCTCCATCCAGAGCCTGTGCACAAGTTGATGGATTCACCAAGAGGGGACGCGTCTTCGCTTTCGCGTCTTTTGTCGAGAGTGAAACTCATCCAGATAACGTGCCGGTCAGGAGCTATCGATTCGAAGAACCTAACTCTTGTTCAATTGGAACGAACAGAATCAAACATCCAGAAATGGAGCGACACTGAATGTTGGTGAATGAGTTTCAGTCAAGTTCAGTCGGTGTTTTCACGCCTTTTGCGACAACGTTTTTCCCTGTTGCGGCGACCTTGAAATGCATTCCATCGAGAATGCTGGCCGCAAGCGATCTCGATGCGAGTCACGCATGGAACGAAAGCGAAAGATCGCCTGACTCTCGCAGTCTTCGGGTGATATGCTTGGGATTTCTAGTCGAAACCGGTGCTTAATAAATTTAGCATATTTCTTTTAGGTTCTTCGCTTCTAGCAGAAGATATCAAGTTAAAGATAATAAAGAGTGGAAAATTGAAACTGAGATCGTAATTTCAAGAAACAATAATTCTATATTTCTATAATTCTATAATTCTATAATTCTAATATAATACAAATAATAAAATTGCAGAGATTATATATACACGACTTTATCTCGAATAATCTAAACAGATTGAAATTTGTTTTACACGCTGTGCTAAAATTTTCCAAATGTCTTATTATTCTGTAACGGTAATAGAAGACACTGACTGCTAACAAATGTTAGATCCAGCATATGTAAGCAGAGAAATTAAACGAATCAAGTTCTAACGTTTATGGCCTTCCGGATACCAACTGGAAAGATGTAAGCGACAAATCGTGCAAGACATTCACGGTCATGGACTATGTCGATGGAAACTGTGCCGCGGTTGTAGCCATAATCGAGCAAACGGTGGACAGTCCTTTGCAAAGATACACGTAATCGAAGAAGGGGAAAAGGAGAAAATATGGAATCGCGTTAACTGGGACCGTTTTAAGGGGATTTCACGGCGGACACGCGATGATCACAGGACCGTGAACGAATTCTGATCCTTTTCTGCTTTTTGGTAGCGTTTCTGTCATGCTCGATACACCATGCAAATTTTTTCCATGCACATTGTTACTAACAACTGGTATCGCTCAGCAGAGAGTATAGTTTTCTTCTTTCGTGCGGACACGAAACACGTTTCAGAGAATTTTTAGACATATATGTGAATTATGGAGGAACCGTGTTTTAAAATATTTCGAGAAATCTGCAAATCGTTATCAGAATGTTTCGAACTTGTTCGTTTCGTAATTGTTTATTTTTATATTACTTTTTAGTGTCCAGGAAATTTTTATTCGTATTTTTGCATCGTTACGTCACTTCTTTGCGTACACGCATAACATATTCGTGAAAAAGGCCAAAATATTCGAATACTCTCATAAGCCATTACAGGTTAAAATTGTAAGAAAAAGTCATTAAGAAATCGTTCGAAATTAAGAAATAAAAATTTCTCTTTCAGATATTTGAATTTTTAAAGCGCACACTACTAGAACTAAATTCTGGAGTCAATATGCAAATAACTTTCTTTTTATCGTTAATGATGTGGTCATTACCATCAAAATTATTAAGCGTGAGAAAACTCCATTCATGCAGCGCATTTGCGAATTTGGGTATCCTGTAATTGATTAATTATTGAAATCATTGCGATGTCTATAATTAAATTGAAGTCCCTCTAACGATATGTAAAATCAGCCTTATTGTATTAATTACGATTATTTAATAGATAAGCCATTGAATAACGAGGTGGAGTCACGCGACCGATTACAAACGAGACCTCTTGATGGAGAAAAACCATCTCGATTAATTAAAAGAATCCAGCTTCGTTACATAGAGCACGTCATTAGCATAATTGGCCGTTTTCGCTTTCAATGCGTGCACGGTGTATGCTAACGAACTATTATTTATAGCAATTGTATGTCGCGCGTTAGAAACGATTTATCGGATGTTCCACTCTTTTAAAGTTCTATTACGATCAGCGATTTAGAAAGATTTCAATTTAAATTTCCGGTCACAGCGCCATTTATCTCGAATTGAAATCTAGTCATTATACGATTTATCGAATATTCGATCCTGTCGCTGGTAGTCTCATTTCGAATGAACTGCTGTAACTGCAGTCGATATCGTTTCCCACAGTTGCTTAATTTTAATTTTCTTATATAACGATTCAATCGTCTCTGCGAACTTAAAACACGATATTATTTTTATTTAACGATTCAGTCTCGAATTTAACTTTTTTCTTTAACTACTCAGATTCCCAACACGCAAAAGTGAATATACCGATCATTGTAAAATTCGTACGGCTTCTTTACCGACGCTCGCTACGAGTAAAAGTTGAAGAAACTACCGAGTTACGCGCAAGTAGTGTTGCAGGAATGAAAATTCATTTCGTAATTAGAAATCAATAATTAGAAATATCAAGAAAAATTAACGTATAAATTTATATCGATATATACTTATGATAATAAAATAAAATAAAGGAAGGAATAAAATGAAAAAGTTACGCACATGCCAGTTATCCAAAATTTCACTAATTAAAAAAAGAAATGAAAGAGAACACCACAGGAACCAAGGTACAAAGACCTAGATGCAAGTAGAAATGCTCCTCGCCCAGTCAAAAGTCGCGAAGGGGAATTAGGACCGTTCCGGTCGGACACGAATCGGCGAGTTTCTCTCCCATGACTATCTTTCGTACGAAGGGGAGGCCTCTCTCACTTTCAGCCTCGGTGGAAGTCGCGTGCGGTTCGATTGCATAAGAGTTGCCGGCTTGTTCGACGGACGAGCACGAAGCGTGTGATTCGTGAGTCAAGTGACTGTGCTTGGGCACGGTCGAAGTGGGTCGAAGCGCAAAAGTCAAACTCATTGTATATCATGAATATCGTTACACGCAAAAATTGAACAAGGAAATTCGACTTTCGTTTGCCGTGACCTTGCAAGGAGAAAATATTTCTTTATTTACATTCTCGATACGTTTTTTTTTTTCATTTCCACTTTCGGTTTGTTCGTTTAAATTTTCTCTCTTGCTTTTTTATTTTTCTGCTTGCTACTAAATTGCAAACGTCAACGTGGGAGAATGAAATAAGTCGTGGGCGTGATCCGTCGGCATACTCGGCTACTTCAAGCCCGAGCCAACGACGCGACGTCAATTAACGATTCCAACGAACAGAGAGCCACGTGCGCGAGTCTCTTTAATTAAAATAAAGCTGCTGCTTTTTCGAGGAGTTCGCACAAGGCACGCGTACATTGAAATCGTATATAGCCGAAGAATCCATCGGGGTTGCTTAACGAACGCGCAACGAAGATAATTGAAGGTTGCTGCTGAATCGTTGCTAAAGTTTCCGGTGCTTCCATCGAACTTGTACGCCTTGTCGATAATCGCTTTCCCTTTGGCGGTATTGTTCGAGACTGGCGTACGCGCAGAAATTGTCAGACTCGCTCGAAAATTCAGAGCCACTGGGAATCACTAATAAAAAGAGGGAAAGATAATACGTTCGATATAAGACGAAAGAAAGGTGAAAATCGATAAGATCGCGTTTTCACGAATCTTTTCCCGAGTATTCCGGTAATTCCGTGGAAAGTGGATATGGGTCAAAGAACAACGAGCTGTATATCGGTGCAAATTACGAGGACACGTTGACGGTAAGGGGCGATCAAGAGCATCGATTTGGCAAGCCCGTGTTGGCAGTGAGAGAAGTGGGTCGTGGTTCTGCCATCCGGTTTAGCGTGTCGTCGATAGAGCACGCGAATCTTCCGTGCACCTGCACGCATGGTCGGTCGGACTATTGGAAGAAAGTTTCAAGTAGAAAGTGAAACTCGCGAATTCGCGAACTCTGTCCCTTCGATCGAAGCACGTGGAAAGCGAGCATCCGATCGTGACACGGATTCTCCCACAGCCTTGTAATAATATCGACGATTCGAGGACTGTCGATCGACAGAGAACGTGAAATTGTTTCTGAGATCGTCGATGATAAATATCGTTGTAGAATAGTTAATGAATAGGAACGGCGAGGGACGTCGGTAAGTCGAGCACGCGGAAAACGAAAGTGGAAATTGTTAAACTAGTCGTGACGTCGCGTCGGTCGAAGGAATCCGAGGGAAGGTCGTATCGAGCGTGAAACAATACACCGTTCGATATTCTTTAGGTTATTAATGTTTATAATTCGTACAAAAATACATGTATTTTGCTATTTCGGTAGAAAAAAAAAGAGAAGGTGAGATAAGCGAGCTGTTGGGCGAAGATCGCTAAAGACGGGCTCCAACTACGAATCTCTCGATTTCTTCGTATCCATGACTCGCGTCGCCATGTTTGCGGGGTTCGTTACGATCGATCTCGGAGGAACCGGTCTCTGGAGCGGCGCGATGTGTTCGTTAGACTCGCGGCTCACCCCTGTCACGATCCAGGTACAAGAAGAAATACGTGAATAGACGCGTGCCATCGAGTACCGTTCCCTTCCGACTCTCGTCAATTTCGTTTCTTCTTTTCTCTCCTTTGTTTTCCTAAAGCTGCTCGTCGATTGCTCGATGTCACCGACACGTGATTACCATCCGAAAGATCGCTCGAATAGTAATCAAACCGGAACAAACGCGACTGGAACGAAGTTAATGATAACCGTGGCCACCCGCCCACTCGCTGCTGTAACCAGCGTCATGTACCGGAACTGCTACTGGTACTTTAACTGGGTACGGAACAGGTTTCTCAACCGGGTAGGGCACCGGTTTCTCGATGTGAACTGGATACGGTCTGTCTACTGGAACCTTAACTTCCACCGGCACTGGCCTTTCCACGGGGTAAGGTACTGGCTTCTCGACCGGATACGGCTGTGGTACTGGTACCTTTACCGGGACAGCGACTGGCTTCTCCACCGGAACTGGATACGGTCTGTCGACTGGTACTTTGACTGCGACTGGCACTGGTTTTTCCACTGGATAGGGTACTGGCCTGTCGATGTGCACGGGGTAGGGTTTGAGTACTGGCACGTGGATCGGACGATCAACAGGAACCTTCACCGGAACCAATCTTTCCACTGGATAGGGGGCTGGTACATGGACCGGAACTTTGACCGGCACTGGAACTGGTTTCTCGACTGGATACGGTTGTGGCACTGGTACCTTTACCGGATATGGTACGTGTTTCTCCACGGGGTAAGGCTGTGGAACCAAAACTTTGACGGGGTATGGGCGATCGACGGGTACGTGAACCGGATATGGAACCTTCTTCTCCACGGGGTACGGTTGGGGTACGTGTACTGGAACCTTAACGAGGACCTTGACTGGATAAGGCTTTTCCACTGGGTATGGTTGCGGTACTGGAACCTTCACAGGGACTGGGTAGGGTTTCTCCACGGGGTAAGGCACGTGTTTCTCCACGGGATATGGAACAGCTACGTTCTTAACAACGGTCACGGTCTTGACGTGTTCGTGTCCACCGTCGTAGCCACCATAGCCACCATAGCCACCGCCATAGCCGCTGCCGCTTAATTCCAGACCACCGTGTCCACCAGATCCGATGTCATAACCACCGTCGTAGCTGTAACCGTAACCGAGACCCAACAGGCCGCGTTTCTCTTGTTTTTTCGTGGAATTGTCTTCCACCGAAGCTTCTGCTTTCTCAGACGTCTTCTCCTCGGCCCACGTGGACGAAACCAACAGGGCGATCGCTGTCGTGTAAACCTAGAAAACCACATCGGAACGTTAGTATTTGATCGAAGACCGGATCACATAGTCGACTAGACCGGCTATGAAAACGAAAGCGATTCGAGAGACCGGTTGTAGACGGATCGTACGGACGATTTCGAGTTTCTAGACCAAAAGACACCGGCTGAATCGCGATTACTGGGATTTTCAGGGAATCCCCAAAAGCTAGATCGGATTCTATCGCGACGAGATCACTGTGCGCGGATCTACGAATCGACGTTACGGTTCTTGGAAGTACAAATAAGTTACGATCGATTTGCTGGAAAGCAACGTCCCGATACAGAAACTACAGAACCAGCTCGAAATAGAAATCATTCACTGCGCGACGTGAACGCGTAAACGTATCTTTCTGGTCACTACTCGACCCCGTTGTTCCGGTCGCCGGTTTCTCGGACAGGGGCCGACAGTCGTTCCCCTTCGTCGTGTCACTCACGTACCAGGATTCTCATTTTTGCTCTCGAGATATTCCAGGTGCGTCCAGAAGTGAACTGGATGCTGATTGCCGTTGGTTCGTCGCCTTATATACGCGGCATACTTTCGCCTTCGCCACCCGGGCCCAACACACCGTACCCCCCTCGTTACACCTCTTTGTTCGCGTAGAACGACCACGATCGGCTACCACTCCCCTTTGGGAGACACACGACTCACCTCCCCACGCCACTCCGAAACGTCCCTCTCCTTAGGCAACAGTTTCGTTTTCTTCGTCGTCCAAGTCATCCCCACTGTTGACCACCGTGGATTCCACTGTTATGCGGATACCCGACATCGGTACCCCGATATGCGTATGAGTCGTTTCCAGTGCTAGACACCTGACGTAGCTGTGACGTTTATTTTAGACTTTTTTTCTGAGATGGAGTCTCGCGGAATTCCCGGTGAGTTTGAATTGTTGGTTGGACAGGTTGGGACAGGCTGCTGTTTAAGCGCTTTAAGGCCGATCTATTATATGTGAATTACGTGACAGCTGAATTTCTCCGATATCGTAATTACTTTATTCTTGGTGAGTTTGAACAGAAGTAGATCGGTGGATTTCTGATATCGATCCTGACATCGCGCTGCTTTAGAACGAAAAGCTAATTTTTTCTACTTTCGTTTTTAATACGATTCTCGATCACCGGAATACATATTTGGATTAACAGAATTGTTTCTTTGCCTACAATTCTGTGTTATAGTTTTCAAAGGTAGTAATATCTTGATTACTTTATTCATATTATTTCTATTCTGTCTCCATTGGGTCATCGTGATATCTTCGATGAATCGAAATTCTTGCGCTAAATTCTTCCTCCGTTCAACCTTCTCTCGTAACAATATCTTAGTCGCAATAATATTTTGCACAAAGAAAGAAAATTAGTTCCCGATTTATACGTTTCGCCTTGCCTGTGAAATCCTAATTGCTTCATTAGCGACGTTTATATTCGAAAGAGAAACATAAGGAGAAAATTTTAAACGTAATACTCGTGCATCTGACGTAACGTGTCAAATGTCTCTCGTATACAAAAATCTCTCTGTCACGTTGCATCCGCACTCGTTCCTTTCTCCGTAGTTTCGCCCCAACTTCCGACTGTGCATAATTCGCATACGAAACTGTTGACGCGTCGAAAATATCTCTCTTTAATTGTCGCATCTCCTATGTATTTCTTCTCTTATTCTAAACCTCAACCTCATTTGTAATCTCCATAGAACGCAATGAATCGATGAAGTATCGAACACAAAGGGTTCTTTCCATTTCGATCGACGTTTCAATACTATTTCTTAAGTCGCTACATAGAACTCGATACTATTGCGGTACATGAAATTTGCGCAACTGGCCCAATTCGACGAATATTATCCTCTTTTCTCCAACCGGACATGATCGTCGCCGGTAGACGATAATCGAATCGGTGCAACACGTTCCAACTCCTCTTCCCTTTCTCCCTGTTTTACCGTTCCGTTTTCGTCCTTCCTCTCTCGACGGCAACCTCGACGGTTACGTGTGCACCAAGCCGTAGGTGCTCACCCGTAAGGATTTATCCGCCGCCAATCTCGTGGGTGCAACCATTGCTCTCTTTCATGAGACACGCGGTCCTACGTCACGATTTCCCTCTCTTTTCCTAGTTTGTCCCCGGTTCCGTTTTCTGCCGCTACCGATTAAAAATCTGAAACCGTTCCTAGCGTTTTCTCATTAGAGGAAGAAGAAAGTAAGAAATAACGTGATTCATTTTTCACTTTTATTCTCGTAATTAACGATGTTTCATTTTTATTTCCTTTTTTAATTCATATGCCCCGAACAGTCTATAGGTAGAGAAGTTCCGATAATAGAAGTTCGCCAGCTCTATTCCTATCAGCTGCTCTTATTAATTGCGATAATAGGAGCCGACGGGCGACGTTCGGATAGCTGAAATTCACCGACAATTTCCATGCAAACGTTCAGTTGCGTATCGAAAGTGTACGTCTTGAGAAAATAGAAGTTCTACGTAGGATTTCTCAATTAAAAGCTGTATACCTTGATACACTGTAAGGTACTTGATACGATATTTCATGAGATAATTAACTCTCCATAGTATTGGCAATTTTATATACATACGATCGATCGATAGGAATACATTTTTACGTAAGATCGGACACGAAAACAAGAAATCGAATCCTTGAAACGTTTTAATCCCTAAACTACGAATATACACATGTTGTACCTTATAAAACGTCTCACGTTGCCATTAAAGTTTGCAAGTTCTCTTCTCACCAAATGTTTTGTAACGTACACATACACACACAACGCCTACTCGCACGATGGTCGTAGGAATGTATAATATACAATGTTTATGCTGACCACTCGCGAGATCGTAGGAACGTTACGTAACGACTGTACACGGCGAGATGCTCGCGATTACCGTGCGCACGATTTACATTCGATCGAAGGGAAATTGATGGTCGAAATGTGGGCAGTATATGAAACGATGGAGAACTGGCTTTATTTATAAAGGATACGTTTATAATAAATCACGTGCGTTAAATCGAGGTGTTTCAATATGAAGAATATGAGTTAACGCGAGATTTCATTTGGCCGTTCGACCATTAGAAGAATAAAACCTTGAGACGAATCTACGAAAAGCAGGATTTGAAAGTCGAATCCATTTGATGGCATTCGAATTATTATCTAACGTTAGATGGAAATATCAGAGATCGACGTTCCCAGCGGTTATTGGATGGATTTGGAATATCTGAAAAACTTTGGATCGATTTGACTAAAACGATGGAAACGAACTGTCGCTTATAAATCACAAGCCCTACCATTCACAACGACGGCTTCTCCTTGAATTCAATTACCGTCGTTTTCCTCGCCTCGAGATGGAAGCTTCGATCCTTACGGCCTATCGTCGATTTCTATCTTGAACCAAGCACGTGGGCAGGAGCTCAAATGTTAACGGATAAAAATTCGCCAGAATACGCGTATTTTCGCTGCTGCGTAATCGTCTGACAGACTTTTTTATCCCGTTCAATTTCACCTTTCTTGGTTACGTTCGATGGTATCAATCGTAATAGCCACTTTGGATTTCTTTTTTTTTTTGCCTCTTTCACTAACGAATCGACGATCAAAAATGAAATTTAGGCGAAAGAAACTTTCGGAGAAACCTTGGACTTCGAAGATATGGCCTAACCTTCGTGATTCGCTGGAAAATCGATATCTCGCTCGCTATACCATGTAGAATTCAAGATTAGCATCATCCTTTGCCATCGACTCCCTGTTATCCTTGTTACCTGATTATTCAGATTGATACTGCCGCTCGCATGTATAATCACTAGAGACGAACGAAGGCGGACAGTGATTTAAACCGTTAGAATATGTCGCGTGATTACATCGGTGAGAAATACATTTTCTTATGAAATGTTCTCTGAAAATTCCAACGTTAACTATGTACTTGAATAAAAACGAAAAGCGTACAAGTTTTGAGCAGTTTAACTTGCGACGCGCTCGCTTCCGACTCATTTCTACAAAACCTTGTTTCTACAAAAAAAAAAAACAAGTAGGTTATCGGCGAAAAAAAGCATTTAACGTGCGCACTGACGAAAGTAAGAATTCGTCGCGCGAAAGTGAAACCAAAAATCTCGGTCATCAAACAGCCACGGCGTAATTACGGGTCGTTATGAAACTATCGACGCTCCAGTCGAGGATCGGCCTGGAGACATTCCTTACTTTCGCGATCGCGGTCGTAATAATTTCCTCCGAGTGGCCACGACGCAGCCTCTTTTCGATGGAAAGTAAACGAACAAGAGCGTAACAACGATCCGCGAAGGATAGTCCTCGCGTTTATTACGTAAAGGTCGTCGTCGATGAAGAGTCTCTGTGAGACGAGTCTCTCTCTTTTTCTCTCTCTCTCTCTCTCTCTCTCTCCCTCTGTCTTCTTTCCATCTTCCTTCTTTTTCACTTTCATCGCGTTACTTCTCCGAGAGAAGATCCATCCGAGAAAGAACAAGCACGACCTTCCGTGGAATCGTTGAAAGGAATCCTAAGCGGCGAATCGACCTCGTTGACACTGACCTTGAAGAAGACGTCGCGGTTTCTTCGTGGTTCGCAAAAAGTCGCCACGGTTGAGGTCGTTAAACGCTTCGCCAATTAATCGGCCCACGATCACCTCCCAATTCTTACCTAGTTCTGAATATCTGCTTGATAATTTTTTATTCGTCTCCGCCGTACCGTGGATTTATTGTTGGCGGGAGTTCTCTGAGAGATTTTTCTCGGTCGATCGGTATCGATACGCCGATGCGAGTTTAAATATGAAATTTATCACAAGGAGATTGCACGACGCTCGTTAAGTTCGCTTTCTCCCATGTTTCGCAGGAACTTTGTGGCAGGAGTCCTTCAATTTCAACTCTATCGCGCGTTGTGCGAAGCGGCTGGACAGAGGAACGTAGACGATCCCAGGAGACCTCTGCACAGATGCGACTTCTACAGAAGCCCGGAAGCTGGTAGGATCTTGGGGTGAGTATTTTGATGCAATATTAACCATGAGTTTATGAGACAAGAACGTCGAATATGATATTAATATTAATTACGCGTATCGTTTTAAGCGAAACGACGATTTTTTTTTAAGTAAAACTAAGTAGTATAACGGATAGCGCATGCCGTCGAACAGTACTTATAAGTTGTAATCTATCTGTAAGCACGTTTGGTTCATGGAAGTATCTTAGCGCAGGTGGTACTGCGAAGCACCGCAAGTCCATAAAGGGTTGAACCAAAATTCAATATTGAGACATTCGGCACCAGTTGCGCGAGTATTAGGTAACAAGAAAAAAACAACGATAGCCTGTCGTAAAAGGCGAACTTAACGTCACCATTTGCCAGAAATATTCTCAACAAAGCGAACGACTTTCTCAACGACATGATAAATAGATTGAACGTAACCGCTGTCCGTTTCTTCTTGTGCCTGCTCGCGAGTAGCGTAGTCTGCTGTTAGCGAAACAGTTTTACGTCTGATTGGACGGCCGCGCGGAAAAGACAGAAAAAAAGGGAGCAGGTGGGAAAGAAAAAGAGCGAAACGAAGCGCAGGAGCGCCGCTTTGGCAGCCAAAGGCCGCGTTAAACCGTCATGAAGCGTGAACGCGTAACATAACTCGGGCTAACAAGATTGACAAAGGAACACAGCACAGAAGATGTTTGAACGATTTCGTGAGGATCCGACTAATCGTATTAGTTTTAACACTGCCTCGTTCATAGAAAGTCCATAAGGTCGAAGTATAACGATTAACTAACCGATAGAAAAAGTTCCGCTTTACGAAACACAGCATACTTTCCCTTTCCATCTGCCATATGCCCTGGCCATCATCGTTGGATCATTTTACAGAAGGAATGCTCGAGAATGCAGAAGATATATAGCAAGTCGTTTTCACTACATTCGCAACATCGTGCAAAAATTTTCGATCATTTATCATAGAAATGTTCTACTTTTAGAAACGTTGTTGTACATGTTACTTCGTGTTATTAGACTACGATATGCGAAGTTTCTGATTCTTTTCTATATCCATCTTTTTTTTTAACAATTATCGTTATCTTTCGTTTTTAAAATTCATTCTATATATCGTTCTATTGTGGAAATGGAAATTTTCTTCTTTATACAAAGTTTTCATCTTTTAACTTTTGCACATAGAGATATGATTCGAAGTAATGCAGTATTTTAATTATATTATTATTTCTTTCAACAAGCGTGCAACGAGTAGGTGTTCCAATACTCGTGACCTAGCATAAAATCAGCGTAGGTGGTCTAAGGTTTTTACGCATTACCATCTATCTCGTGATGATACAAAGACATCGTCCGCGTTCCTCAACTTCCTTCGTCGTCCAATACGAAATTACATATTTCTCTAACCCGGTAGCAACTTGAAACGCGTCTGAACTTTGTTCCACCTGATAGAACATAGATTTTCGTATTTTACAGCTGTAGGAACATGAATTTTTCTCTCGGCAGAATTTCGAAAGAGGGTACTTTCGAATATTTATACGCCGATTTAATAACGAGTCCGGTTAAAAACTCACGCTTCTCGAGAAAGTAAGAGGAATATTTAAAAAAATTGGAAGTACTTAGTTCACCTTCTTGGATATCTCTAACGAAAGATCGCGAAAAGAAGGAATCTCTCGAACGATGAATAAGAATGAAATGAAATCGATAAAAAGATGGGACTCTGTGTAAGATTTTGCGATTAACATATTCCAAGGTACCACAGGCGTAAGGAATGTATTCCTCGCTCTTAAATAAAACGTGCTGGTTATCGACATCCAAAACTAATTTGATTTCCATAATTTTTCATAAATGTCAACGGACTACGAAAACAGGAATTTCAATTTTATCGGTTAAGCCAGACGGCGAACACGTGGATTGGTTTGGGACATCCGAAAAATTTTTTGCCGTAAGGGTTCCGATTTTTTGACCTGATTAAAATTCAAGGCTAACGCCGAGTTTCCTACTTACATATTTGCATGGATACTCGACTGGCCTGTTCCTTCTACGATATCGCTTTAATAAAAGTTCAGACGTGTTCCTCGAAATAACTGCAGTCTTTCATTCATGACATATATATTTAATAAACATTACAAAATACTTCCATTCCCTGAGATTATTTAACGATAACGAAACACGCGTGTTAGATTGTACAGAAAAAAGATATCTGGTGTTCCTTTTGTAATAAGTCCTCGCTTGATGAATACATATTATATCATTTAGTCGAGGCTAACGTTAATAGCGTTGATGAGCGGATAGAACAGCGTCTTATGCGACGATCGAAAGTACACGCTATACTTTTACAAAACCGTGTCATCGATCGGTTACGTGACGAACGATTGCAAAAAACCATATATCAGAGTCGAAAAATCAAGTAGTCCACTGTAACGTTAGTTAGTTCTCCAATTTCTCGTGCATTGCAGCAAGATTATGCTTGTACAGAAACGATGCTCGAATTCTTTGTGTCGTAAGCTCTGAACGACGCATTAACCCTGAATAAAATGTCGACTAACTTGAACGACTAGTTTACTTAATTGATTAAAAGACAAACGACGAAATAACATGTAAGAGTTGCGTGAATTCCGCATTATCGAGAAAGTAAAGTTAAGTATTACGTAAACAAGAAAGTTCTATCGTTACTTTTGTGACAGAGAGGAATGACGCAGACATGTAGAAAACAACGTATAGAAATATAGAAAAACGTAACAGATACGTTACAAAAACGCCAGTAAATATAGTAGATCGATTGTAAAAAAGGTTGCAAATAAAACGTCGTTCTAATGAAAGAAAAATTAACAGACACCTAATAAGCTGTAAACTGAAATCATCGAATCTCTCAAGGATTCTATCTTCGAGTTTTTACTTCTTGAAAATAATCAAGTTTCCTTATGATTTTAAGATGATCGTAAAAAGAAGTCAGAGAATCTAAATTAGAGAAATAAAAATTTTTTAGCTTCGTAAAAAAATGACAGAGATAATTGGTATTTGGACGATCTACTAGACCTTGACTTAATATATGCTAGTTTGAGATGTTCCTTGCGATACTTTGTCACAGAATGAAAATTATTCACCTTGGATTCGAGAAACTTGAGAATTTGCGAAATTTTATTTCAGCAAATCAATGGCTTCTTCCTTCGATGCCGTCGTCGGTGTAATCAAATAAAACATTTTGATATTTAGTCTGACCTATAGGAACGTTGTTCTTCTCTTTTTATATCGAAAAGTATCTGCATGAAACACGTATAAAATTGAAATAACATGTTTGCACGTTTAAATTATTTGATTCTGTCGCTTCGCTAATAACGAGTGATGTCTTCTGCTTCCATTAAACTGATCAATTCCATCTTTATAAATTTCTCACTTTCATTATCCAGATACACGAATGTTCGATTATCTATAAGAAAACGAAATTGAATAAAGAAATAATATAATGTACGATAAAAATTGCACGATGTAATAATTAATAATAAACAAGATGGAAAGAAAATAATAACAAAATATGCACTTCTTTTTCTAGTTTGTAATCGCTGATCAATTATGCGTTCAAACACTTTCAAACGCGGAACATTTATCAAACGGCAACTAATTTCTTGAGCTATCGCAGAGATTATGATGAGTAACATTAAAAAAAAACACATAAACGGTCAGAGTTAATTGACCATAAATTATCCAGGATTTACAAGAAACCCATGATACATCAATTCCTAAGCGTTTAAAGATAGAAAACAAATTACAAAATCGGCAATTATGGAAAGATATTGTACACAGACGAAGCTCGCTAACTCGAACCTTAATGGAAGAATCAAAATTTTCAAGTTCTAGAAGTTTCGATTGTATGTGGAATTTTTACTCGAAAAGTATTCGACATAAAGAAGCTTTGTACGAAGGTACAATTATTTTCACCTTCTCGGAAGATGTTATTATTTGATATATATAAATGCATAAGTTAAAGATATGCACGTGGTCGAAGTGCGATGAAGTAGAGATACGACTTGTGTCGTCTTATGTTATGTTATGTCCAGTTGCGATACAAGTTCCACTTGTCAGAGATCTGGCTATTGTAAATTCCAGTTACAGAGGTAACATAATGCATCTGAACGCGTGACAAATAATTCGAGTTAATGTCGGTTTTATTTCGATTTCCAGACGTCCGCGGCGGGGCAAAAGGAAATGAGCAAAGCTGTGATCTTGTAGAGATTTTCGACTTACAGAGGTTCGAGTTTTCGAGTTATGGTGCTCCGACTGTAATAATTTATCGTATCGTCGAGTTTGTTTTATTTTATTGTATTATATTTCTTTTATTTTCCAACGCGAGGAATCCTCATCGAAAATCTTTTATTTGCATCTCGTCGCCGATGATCACCGAACTTGGCGTTATCCGTGTCTGCTATCTCGGACAGATTGAGATTCCTAATAAGAGTAGGAACATGAGGAAACCCCGGATTATTGGCTGAGATTGAAAGGAACGAACGATACTTTCAAGGTCCGCCGAAGAGACGTAATGGACAATCTTGGAAAGGTCTTCGGATAGAGTTACCCCTTGACGTATATATTGTATAAGCGAACAGAATATAATGCACGTGGGCGTACATAGAGATGGAACATATCGGAAGAGATCTACTATATCGATCTCGTAGCGATCCGATCGCGTCCCTTGACAATCTCTGGTAGGCTGCGTGATCTGGGTCAACGAGAGAGGAACCTTTGTTCAGCTGCGCAACTTCGGTTGCCAATTTGGTATTTGTATCTTGATTCTGAATTCCGCGTTAGCGAATTTAGCTCGACACGTGCGACCATCGATTTAACAAAAATTCGCGATTCGATCAGAAAATATTGGACGATTCAGTCACTTGGAAGGAAGGAAGAACGCGGAGAAAATGGGAATTACAGACGTCATTTTTGAAAATTTACTTACTTGGAACGTTCACGAACAAAGTATTCCAAAATTTGGGAAGAAAATATGTAAAGAGATCGTACATGAAGAAAGA